TTGAGTTTGATGTTGAAGCTATTGAGTTTGATGTTGAAGCTATTTCTGACTGTCATTTAGCCAATAAACGTATGTTGAATTGATTTAATTCATAATCAGAGATAGTGAAAATTGTAGCATACTTAAAGCAACTTATAAGCATTCTAGAAAACACATAAAAGTTTCTTCAACTTAGAGATTTAACCCTTTTAAATCTATATCACTTTAACAATGAATATAACCTAAACAGAAATTTCATAATTGGATTGTTGTTTCTGGTTCAATCCAAAAATCTGTTACTAAGTAATGGATAATGATAACAATAAAAGCATTATCTTGCAATCATAGGAGCTCGTTTCCACTATCAGTACTATGATAAGTCATGGGGAGATATCCACCATTCAATTCAAAAATTAGATGAAATGGTAAGTTGTGACTTATCTTTTGTGTGGTGTTCCAAAACATTAGAAATTTGTGACTGAATAAGTGTTTTTGTTCTTCAATTGTATAACACCTGTTTTTCGTTGATGCTGTGGTAGCTGTATTCTTGCTTTGTTTCTTTTGTGCATTTTAATTGGCTTGTGGATTTTTATCAATTTATTAAATAGGTGAAGACTAAGCAATACATTTTGCTTCTTTGTCATTTTTAATACATATGTTAAACCCACGATGCTTGAATTAGATGGTGCTAGTTCACAATCAATTTAAATAAGATGTAAAAAATCACTTTTCCAGCTATTCTGGACAGGTAACAATTAGTTAAGTACAACCAACTTTTAAAGTGTATTGTAAAGGGGAGGAACTAAGTTTTGTAGTTATATAAATAACTTGCCCATAATTTGTAACAGATGTTATAAAATTTAAAAGTTTTTGAGGGATGGTCTGATAAAGCCACACTTGCTGGTTGAATACAATAATTTTAGAAATACTTCCTACATCCTGTGTGGGCAGCCCATTGGCCAATGGCCGTGTGTGGCCATTTTGCAAAAAATGTGTGGCTAACTCGTAGAATCAATGATTGTGTGTGTTTTTACTTGTCTTAGAGAATATGTTTCTCATTCTGACTTCAGCCATTAACACCTACCAATTAACAAAGTAGTAAGCCATTGATCTTCCATTATTTAAAAATGAGGACACACCCAAAACTCTTTAGTAGAATAATTATAGCATTTGATCACATAATTTTTGTAGCTTTTGATTAATCAAAGATCTAGAAATGTAATATGTATTTAGTTTTAAGATATGTGAAAAGAAGTTATTCTACATATGTTTGATAAATATGGTGATTTAGAATGATAATATTATTATAGTAGTCCTGTATTAGAAAAATTTTCTGCACGTGTTTGTAGCTTATATAGCAATCACTTTTATTGCATGTGCTTGTAGTTTAAAGACTTTTCTTTAGTTGTCATTTTTCTTTTCAGGGTATGAAAATTATTGAGTCCCTAACACCGTCTGAATTCACATCATATCTGAGAAAGTTTGGAAACACGATTTGTGGACGTCATCCCATTGGTGTTCTCTTAAATGTAAGTTAAGTTTTTTTTTTTCAAGAACAAATTTACACATACACCCACAGAAGTATATGACTTGTTTGAAACAGTATGTATAAGTTAACCAATGATAAATATATAAGCACACAGAATGTTTTTAAACAACCTTTAGGTTGAAAATAATAAATAAATATCCTCTAACTTTTCAAAGTGTATAATTTTACTGCTCATTATTTACCTCGGGGTTGCTTGACAAAGCTGTAAAATAAAACATTTGACATTAAAATTATGCTTTTTAGATAAAGACACTCATTATTATTATTATTATTATTATTACTTTTGTTATAGAAATTATGTTTTGTTAATAATTCAAGTTAATGTAAGAAATATTCAGAATACAAATCTTTAGATTCTGCATGTTGGTCAATTTGAATTATTTGGATACACTTGTTGTGAATAGTACATGGCAATGTTTAAATTACAGAATATTCTACTGCACAGTCTAACTTGCTACTCTGTAATTTCTAAATCTATATTTTGTCATTTCTAATCAGCTTGTGTATAAAGTGTTTATTTTGTTTAAAAGACATACTTAACAGATAATGAATAGTTTGAAAGTTGTTAAAATAGACAACCAATAAGGTGAACTGGTGAGTAGGCAACTATTTAATTCATTTGTACATCATGTTTGTGGTTCTTCTGTCAGTGTTCATGTCTAGGATGCTCAGCCATAATAGGAAACTTTTTAGTGTGTAGTACTACTGGAATGGAGATGATTTCTAATCTTACAGTATTGGTGTTTTGCTTCTAGTGTAGGGAGATTTATTAATTTTCCATATTTCTTCTCAATATTTCTGAAGTTGTTCCAATTATACGCTGATCAATGGCTGATGTATTGGTTTTCAGTAGAGATTTGTAGTTCTGAGATAAACAAATTATCCAATACAGTTATTGTATTTTGATTTATTTTAAGTACTATCAAATTACCAAATGAAATCTACTATCTGAATTTAATAAGACTTCTTAAGCTTGTTCGTAATAGTCCAAGATTCTTTTGAAAAAACAAAGGCATTCCTTCTGATTTAAACAGATCTGTTTTGGTACTAAAACTTTTAATGCAGATTGTAAATTGAATTTTATGCAGTACTAACTTTCCCCCTTTTATATATTATTTTGTTACTTGTCTTGTTATGTACTTACAAATATGTCCTGATGTTTAGATTTTAAGATGTTTATGATTAAGAATTTTTCTGTATCTTTTATAATTATAAACATCATTCCAGCTGATTATTTTAGTGTTCTCTTTTACTTTTCTTCTTTTCATTTTATTTTCACTTTTTATTTTGAAATAACTTATATTTAATGATTTATTTGTTTGTGATTTAGCACAAAGCTACACAATGGGCTGTTTTTGCTGTACCCAATACAAATATTAAAACCTAATTTGTAGTAGTGCTATAAACCATTAGACTTGCTGCTGAACCACTGAAGCACATGTTATGTGTTTTTGTATTTTTAATGTACACAGTTGTTCTTTTTCATGGTGATCTAACATGGATATTTATTATATATAGTATGAATGTTTTTGTTTATTTTACTGCTTTTTCTTCATTAAGCAATTCATAATTCTCCATTAACTCTGTGTCCCTGGTATTTTTTCAGGCAGTTAACATTCTACAACAGACTACTAGTAATGGCCACAAGATGTCCCTGAAATTTCTTTATTATGCCCAATCTAGCCAGTGTCTTAGCATGCATGACTCATCAGTAAGCTATGCTGCTGGTTCCCTACAGATTGAATAATGATACATATTGTAGGAAGTTTAAGTGGTACTTTAAAACAAATATCATCAGTTGTGTTTATTGATGTTACTCGTGTAGGTCTCAAGGATTTGTCTATGCAATATCTGTGTTGTATTTGTTGGTTTATTTTGTATATCTCAGTTTCTCTGCGAGACATAAGTGTTCACACTTGATGTTGTTAATATTATGGTGTTTGAGATTTAGGTAGGAACATTTTTGTTGTTAAATATTTTCAATAGTATTATCATTAAGTTCTATGTTACTCAAGAAATTCAGGTTATATACCTCAAACCAAAAATTTAAGACTGTTAATAAAAGATTAAATGTTAAGAAATAAAGATTATCGTATTTCTGGTATAACATGTAATGAAGTTTTATGATAATTCATTAATTAAATTATTTTTATTGGATAGTTTATAGTATTTTGAAAGTAGTGTAGCAAGTCACTAAAAAAAACTTGTGGTCTTGGATCTGTTTTATAACTCATACACATTTTGCTTAGGAACAATGAAATACCAATAAAGTCAAAGTTGTATGTAAAATTAAATTGGAGAGAAACTAGGTTTCTTTTATACAATTATGATTTCTATTCATAACTTCCAACACAACAAGGATAAAACTCATTGTAGTGACCTCAACAGGTCCAGAAGGTCACGTTAATAGTCATTCATATGTTTAGCCCTCAGAATTTAACACTCAGAAGTAACAAACTCAAATGATGAGTCATCATAATAAAACCTGTAAAAAAAGACTGCTGTTGAGCCTAATGAAAATGAGATTTCAGGATATGACTTTGCTGGTGTTGAAATGATTTTATTTTCTATATTCGTTGTTGGTTAAAGAATACTATGAAGTCAGTAATAGTGCGTAAGCACTAAGTTTTACGTAGGAGTGTTCACAATCTGTGATAATTATACAAGTCTGAGTGCTTAGACCTTATAATCCTTTGTTCCATCATCATTTGTGCTATGTCTGATAACTTTGGTTATAAACTATTTTTCTACAGCTCAATTTATGCTGTGGGAAGCTTTTGCATGAAAACAGGTTAGTGCTGTTCCTCTCTTGTTAATATGGTTTACAAAGTCTATCACCCACGTGTGGAAGATGATTGTCAAAAGACTGTTTGAGGAATCCAAAACATAAAAGTTCATTGGAGATGTGAATGATACACCATGAATTCCCATTTGAACTTAATCTTCTTGAGGAACTGCCGTATTGACATGAACATATAGATTGATGCCTTTTCTTAGTGGAACCAAATCTTATTGACATCCAATCAGAACAAAGATAGTATTCTTCATAGTATAGTTGTGTCAACACATTAATTTGATAGTGCAGAGTTCACTGCGACATTCTTTTTGAGACTTTAGATGTTTAATTTGTCATAATAGCTGTAACCTGTAACCACCATAATGTAAATCCCTTAGAAAAGCTTTCACAGTATGCTCTGTATAATTTTTAAAATGTTGTGCCACTGAAATGATGATGATAAACTGCCTAGACTGTAGCAGAAATTTAAATAGGTGCTTTATGCAGTATGATGACATACATTCATTGTAAGACAGATACTGCTCACACAGTTTTTAGCAGTTGGTCTCCTGTTTATCTATGTGCTTTGGAAGAAGCTTGTGAACACAGTTCTTGTGTTGCTTTTGCAGACCTAAATCTGTATGAATTATCTTTTTTACAGTTTGTACCATTGTGCCGTATGTTATTTTATAATCATGGAATAGAACTTTGCATCAGAAATTCCTGTAACATAATCAATCCAGAAGGAGTCAATTTTAAACATCTTTACTCTCAACTCACCATGCTGAGTTACAACAAGAGGGTAAGGGCTTTTAACCATTGTAGTCACAGACCATGAGAATAACCCAGAACAAGGTGATTGAGTACACAAAGTGTTACAGTAGATCATAACAGAGGCGTACATTTCATAAAAAAGACGTGTAGGCACACATCAAAATTCAGAGCAAATTCAAAGGATCATGATAAAATGAATTTTCGAAACATTTAATAGAACAACAACACTAGTTGTGTTCCTTTGCATATTTTAGTAATATAATTAAAATACAATCAATTTTATATTCATGGAATATGAGGGCCAGTCTTCTATTTTTAATTCTACTGAACATGTTGACTGCAGATTCAAGATCCATTTCAAAATGCTTATATATATTTAGAAGGGCTAAAGCAGCAAGTCTTTCCTGTACCATGGTAGAACGAGGATAGTTTATCAAACACCTTCTTGATGAGAAAGGCCTCTCTGCACTTGCAACTGACACAGGTATGACAAGAAGTATTGATAGAATATTGTAAATGATTGGATACAAGAGCTTGTTTGTTACTTCCAATGCATCTAATAAACTACTTGGTTTACCATTCTGACCCTCTCGTTTGATCTGCCACCTCTGAAACTCGCCTCAGATTAAATTCTCATCTATGTCTCTTCTATATTCTTTAATAAATTCCCTCAAGTGAAAAGGGATTAAGTACTGTTCAAAGAACCGTCTATAAGGTACAATAACTCTTGCATGAAGTTCCTGAAGTAGCTGGTCAGTGAAGGAATAATACATTGCTCTTGTATAATATTCACAGTAAATAGGGACTTTATTTACCTAAATGAAAAATCGTACTTTTGTACTTCTCAAGATCCACACAAAAGTTGCAGGTGGCCTTCATTGAACTGCAGTCTTGAAGGGGACATTATGGCAAAATCAGGATACATTTCAATTGTTAACACCAGTTCTTCTGGAGTGGAGTTGACCCCAACTCATGTGCCAAATGGTCTAGGTTCTGCTTCATGCTCAAAGTGTTCAATGCTTTTAGGTTTAAGCATTTCTGTAATTTTTTGTGTGGCCATACTTGCAGCTTGTCCAGAGGCACTAGTCTAGTAAATCTACATTTGACATGTAGAACAATAACCCTCAATTCAAGCAGTTGCATGTTGCTAGGTTACGGTGCATGCTGCACGCACCTGGAACCTGTATGCTTTAGCACAAATTCATTATCTACATTTTGGTTTGTATGAGTGCAATGTTCAAATATATAAAAAAAAAATTTACTGAATTGTGCCTTTTCAACAGTGATCTACAAAGTTTGATTGCAGATTTGCTTAAATGGAAAATTTAGGATTTGTCTCAAAAGTTTGGGATATTTTATGTGTAAGCACATGCCTTTTTTGTCTAAATGGAATGTACGCCCCTGCATAAACTCATTTTTTTGTCCAGGTGTACATAATCGTACTAGTAGACTTTGTTGGTTCAGGGCAATATTTCAAAAAGTCCATGTACTTGCAGTAAACAAACATTTTACATTAATGAATTATTATTAAAATAAGAAAAAGTTTGTTGGGATGCATACTAGTTTAAAGTATTGTAGTCATTCTCGTGTTTTTCCATTCATGTGTTTTTGAAACTCAGTTAACTGGCAAAAGAATTAAGTACAGTAACTACATTGATATTAGTACAGTGTATTTGTCAACATTCTAACATATTTTGTTTACTCTAGGATCCAAAAATCATTACAAATTTTGATTATCTACTAAGCATATAGGTGTAACTTGTAAACTAGTTACTGTGTGCAGATGTTACAGTTATGTTTTATATTGGTTGTTAATTACTAAACAGTTCTGGAAACAGACACAGTGTGATTTTCTTCAAGATATGAAATTTGTTAAAATATTGTATTGCCAATTTTATAAACAAAACTGTTTTTAAAATATGTTTGCATCAGTTTCATCTTTTAAACTTGTTTTTGTTTGATATATAGTATCTAAAAATAAAGTTGCTGATATCTTGTATCGAAACAATTAATTTTACCTCAAATTACACAATGTAACTTAAAAAGTGTTCCTTTTCATAAAATAATCTCAATTTTTGCCCTACTTTTTAACACTTATAAGAAGAGAATTAGACAAGGTCTACAGTAATTGTTAATCTTGTTTTGATTCGTTATTTTTCTTTTAAAAGGCAGACAGACTTACAAAAATGTTTTTCTGTATATGTAGCATACTACAATTATGAAAATTTCAGATGTTACAATATGTGCAATGAATATGTTGTAATAGATAACTTTTATGTACATAATTCTCTCAACACTCATGGTCTGGGTCCTAGGTTGGCCTTTGACTCCTAATATCCACACTATTTTAAAGGTTTCTTTTTATCTCATTTTTGTCCATGTAAGGAAAGTACACTAAATTTAGTTACATATTGAAATCTTCTCACAATGTTATAGCTTTTATGATGAATGTAATTCCACAAATAATATTATGTGTTTGAATAGCCAAGGTATATAAGGTTTGCTGATTATTCATGTGTTATTACTTGTTTAAACTTCAGTTTGAAAAAATATGTTAATTAAGGGGTACTTAAGTTTAAATTGGCAGACTTATAGATGTGCTTTCCTCTCCACATTTCTTTGAAAATTTAAAGTTTCCACGTTTTTAACCCTTCTTTTTTCATCTCTATATATATGTTTATATGGATAGTGTTTGTTCCTCAATTATGAAAATAAGAAATTTTGCATATTATTTTAAAAAGAAAAAAAATTAAACATTTCTAATACAATTCAAAGAGATGTTTGTCAAGCTGCCTTCTTCTTGCTCCTGAATTCTTTGAAAAATATTTAGATACTTCAAACAATTACACAAAAAAGGACACACCTTGTAAGTTATTACAGAATGCTAACATTTAAACGTAGAAGATGTACTGTTAATTTACAGCTAAATCTTCCTGTTTAGTGATTGTAAATATCTTAATAAAGAAATGCTTTTGTGTATGACCAGTTTTTTTGCTCTATATTTTTTACCAGAACCTAAACCAGCATTCATTAATATAACTTATGGTTATTCCAGTATGTGTGCATATGTGTGTTCTTTATGTTTAGCCCATTTTATGATAGGTTTTACACTAGTACGTTTAACTTGACCATTCTGATATTGTTTCCTGGACTACATAAATTCTTCATTTCTCTTCACCTTGCCTCATTCTAAGCTGATCCTATTGCTTTTATTTGACATTCTTAACATTCATCTTTTGGTGGCCACATGGTGTAATTAACTTTTAGGTTTCTTTTGAATGAAATTTTGTAATTAATTGTAATGTGCATACATTTTGTCTATATTCAGCTGTACATGTATAGTATTCTTGGGTAAAGACCAAAACCAACAATTCCCTGTGATGGACACAGCAGATAGCCTAATGTGGCTTTGCTCTAAAACAAACAAACAAACAATTACTAATACGCATTAATTATAATTTACATAGACTTAACTTACTGTCATTCCCATTAAATGACAACTACTGTTAAATGTATAAGATCAGTTACATCTTAAAATGCTTGATTATAAATGTTAAGTCTGCAATATGGGAGATACAGAAAGACCTTGTGGAAGAATAAATTGAGCATGGACAGCAAAGGAAGTTGTCAAACACATGCTCAACAAAGAACCAAAATCTTTATTGAATACATACTTGAAAACCAAAACATACTGGTGTCATAATGTTTTAATTGTCTAGCTTCTAGGTTCTAACTGGAGATGAGAAAACAAAGCCCCAATTCCTACAGTTCTAGATTACTAATTCCAATGCTCATTTTCACTATACGTGTTCAAGAGGAGATTAAATTCCAGCTCACACAAATCTGTGCACCACTCCTCCATTTGGTTATTTCCTACACTCGATTTGTTCAGACAATTATTACATCTGAGAAAAATAGTCTACAGTATAGGATAATTATAAGAGAAATTCCATATTTACTGTAACTATGTCTTAAAAGTTACTTCTCCTAGGGGAACTGAATTTTGATTGAAATACTGGTTTTGTTCACATATGTTTGGGCATGGTACAATGTGTTTCAAGAACTCGTAGGTGTTCGGTATGCTCCCAAGCCTATCCCTAAATCAAACTACCAAAGTAATCTGGGACACTGGGGATAAAAGGACATCAACCTTAAAAAAATAGCTTATACATTTTTTCCAACACTATTGAAACGTGGCTTAATAAAGTGGGTAATAAATGGTGATTATAAATAAAAAAATTTGCACAATGTATTGTTGTTTAATTTGTGAAATGTATAAACAGTACTAATACATATTATAGACTACACAGCTCTTCACACAGTTTTTTCAAGAAATCCCCACCCCCAATCTGATTGTAGGGTTGGTATAAAAATATTTTTCTCGACCCATTTATAAACCCCAATTAGCCCATGGAAACTACTTCACATATCATCGTTATGAACAATGTTCACTGATTTTCTCAGTATCCTGGAGACTGACATGCATTTTCTTTCAAGCCTTGTATTGTTGGAAGAAGTGAAATAAAAGTGACACTAGTTTGCCAAAAAATAGAGAATAATATGAGTAGCAGAATATGTTTTGAAATATCCTACATCATATCTAAACTTTTCTCCTTAAGACATATTTCTTAATTGTATCTTAGGGCAAGTAGTTTTTAAAGTATAATCATTTTAAGTGTGTGGATTGCTATATAACAGTCCTGTGAAAAATGTGTTAACCTTTTAGTCACATTAACAGTTATGTGTAGTCAAACAACCTTGTGGTCTGTCTTACTTAATCAGTTCCCTTTTCAGGAAACCATTCCAACTTATGGTAAAATCAATATGTGATCACACATTTGTTTTTACAAAGACAAACATTGAAATAAATACAACATACTTATACAAGATAAGAATGAGTGTTGCACATTTATAAAAAAGCGGTTTACTGTATCTCACCTTATTATAAGTGACAAAAGCTTAAGTAATCTTCCTATATTAAACAGAAGAGGGTGACCTACATTTCTACTTACTTATCTAACTAAATATATTTGTAAAATCATCCTAATATACACAGCGTGGTCACAAGTAAATAGACACCACCTTTTCAGAAAAAAAT